CAACTGGCCTGTAGCCCAATCTGGCCGGCGAAAAGTTCAAGGACTACGTAGACGTTGTCTGCACAGCAGCGGTCAGCGGCTCCATCTTCACCACCGTGGCTCTCACAGCTGACCGCTGCCTGGCCGTGACACGCCCCTTTCAGTGGTCAACTCAACGCAGCAACGTCTGCTACTACGTTATCGTTGTCGTGGTCGTCTTCGCTGCCTTCCTCCTCAGTGTTCCCATGCTGGTGGACAGAGCCACCAACATTGGTGACGTCGACTTATCAAACTGCAGCAGACTCGTCGATAATAACGTGTCTGAACATCACAGCGGGACGAATACGACATTTCTGTCCGTCCCCGAATTCCCCACAAAAGACCCAGATGCGCCAGACTCAAAGAACGTGTGGGCCGACCAGAATAGTGATTTTCAAATGACATACTCGAGCAATTTTTTCCATAATGAAATCTACTTGAAAATCGTTATGCCGCTTTTTCAACTGCTTCTCCCTGCTGTAGCCATCGTTTGTCTCACAGTCTACACTCTACTCTCTCTACGTCACAATAAAGTAGGCGTGGACACAGGCACGACATCACGACAACCTTCGAAAGTCGCTAAAGCGTCCAACCGTATCACAGCGCAGGTTATCGCAATGGCAACCGTCACATTGGTAGCCAATGCAATGTTCGCTTTGTCTACTGTTGTCCTGGCTATGGAAGACACTATCTATATCAACCAATGTTCCGAGTTTTGCGTAATTATTTTTAGCCTTGCGCACGTTGCTCTTGCGTTGAATTCTAGCGTCAATCTGATCCTCTACTGCATTTTCAACAAGACTTTCAGGCATGAAGTTTTCCGAATAATTATGCCCTGGAAGAGATGCAAGAAAAAGTTTGACCTCCCCACAAGTGGTACAACAACCTCACAGCAGCAACGGAGTTCAAGAAAGAATGTTTCTACTTCTGCTTCGAGAAAATTCTAGCGGCTATTGAGATAAGTGACTGTATGGGACCAATGCCCTTTTGAACTCTGTTTGGTTCCTTGAAAGGCAGGACCTTCCAATGTAAAGCCTTCCCCAATGGAACTGAATTAAGTGAGAGGAAAGCCCTAGATAAAACTCCGCTAAACAAGCAAAGTTCAAGAACGCATCATTTGAGATTTGAACGTGGGATACTTGCATCATAGCCCAGCATGATAATTATATTCTCACTAAACGTACACCTGGTCTGACTGCTGTCCAAGGAACTCTTTCTTCTTGTGGCTTTTTAAAATGAGAACTTAGATTTCACTGTCTTATTTAGCGTTTCACGTCCCTTGCAACTCGATCAGGTAGGTCATACAAGTGCTGGAGATTAGAGGTGTTACAAGATAGTAACATGCACAAATAGATTAAGGACCCTAGATTTTGGATATAACAGATGGAACATACCACACCAGAGCACCCACCACCCATCCACCTTTAAATCTCAACTGGACTTAATTAAGCATGTTATTTTGAAGGCGAGCGCCTACATCGTAGGGTGTTTCCGGCACAGGAATCGGTCAGCAGAACAAAATGAAAGAGACCTCAATCAAATTAAACAGAAAACACGGTGAATGAGGAGAAATAATTCCCCCGCTGCAAGGCAAAGGAAGAGGTGTATACTTCGCCTTCCATGAGTTGGAAAGTAGAGAGTTTTCGACATAAAAGATCGGTACTCGTGAATATTCAAAGAGCCTGCCTCAGCATCGGACAACTGTCTTCTCTATACTCTGTACAGCCTTGTATCAGTGACTATCAGACAGAACTGTGCCTCGCTAAGTCGAAGTCAGGATGCAAGCTGCATGCCTGGGCCGCCTTCTCCATGATTCGGAAAGAGTCAACTTACTTAGTTTTCTTTATTATGTTTTGTTCTCTGTTTTCTAATTTATTTATTTTTTGTTGCTGCTATATTGCTGTTTCGTTGTTCTTGGACTATGTGTGTGCCGTGTTTTTTTTGTGTTGTTGTTGTTGTTGTTTTTTGTTTTTGTTTTGTTTTTTTCTTACAGGATTAGGTTAACCCTAATTGGACACAAGCTTGTTATTTCGATGGTTGTCCCCACACTGCCGATTTTATTATATTTACAAGTCTGTATATGTATGTGTACATTATTATCTGAAGGTTTGATTTTTGCACAATCAGATCCCTGTTTGGTATATTTAGCTCTAAAGAGTGTTAGACATAAGTTTAAATGCAATTCTACGTCAGAAGAAATGCAGTGGCGTTTCATTTGTGTGTTGGGGGAGGGGGCAGAGGTAAGATGATGAATCAGGAGAGGGGATAGAAGGAGAGGGAGTGTGTGAGAAATGTGATTATAGTTTGTGATGTAACAAGTTGGAAGGGGGGGGAGGTAAAAAATATGTAAAAACCAAGCCAAGAAGGTCAATGAGCCTTCACGACTACTTATGGAAAAAAAGTGTTTTACAATAAAAATCGAGATTCATACATAACCGAAGATTCTGTATAACATGATGATTCACTCCTCTCTTTGAACCAATTAAAAAAGTGTCCTTAAAATTGCGGCTGGCACCCTCTTCGAAAAAGTGCCCGCTCTGCAAACAGAGTTACCCTACTTGTGTGGAAAAAATGTTTAATGAAACTAACAAGTTTTTGTATAAATTATAATTAAAACTTTGGAATAACGCCTTTTAAAACGGTTACGCTAACAAAAATCCTCCTCATGTGGAAGGTGCGATTTTTTTCTTCGTTTAATTTAGCTTTAGAACGAGAGGCGAGAGGTCATTAAGACATGATGCGGGTGGAAATTTCGAAATTCGTTAGGAAGAAAAAACTAAGCTTACAAATGTGGTAGCATCAATATAAATAGAGTGGAGAATTAGGTCATGAAGTAAAATTTTGAAAATTATTATGTGTTGCTATGGTAACGGCTGCCATATTGGAATGCCATATATAGAAAATATACACATTTCTTTTTAAAAATCTATCATATGGTTATAAATGATTTCAAAACAATTTATAAATGGTTTTACAACCTTCTGTGGCTGCTTTAGTGGATGGACTTGGCATTTTTTTTATGTAGGAGGACAAACTTTTTCAGAAGCGAGGTCCAAACTAGGGGAATATTTTGATGACAAAAATCTTAGATCATAACAACGGATTAGATTTATTATAAAATCATTTATTCAATATTTTTTGGGATGTCACTCCTTATTACATTAGAATAATGTTTCATCTAGCAGTATACCAAAAATTATGAAGATATCTTAACAACTTTTCGAATGATAGATTTTTGGCGTTCCACCCCCCTTGAAAGAGCCCATTTTGAGAAGAAAAAAAAGCCCTTAAATTTTGAAGCACAAAACTTGCTGTAAACGTAGTTATACAGTAGCGTCCAAAAGAAACTTGAAAACGTAATCACCAAGTCATCGTGTTAAAGCGTTACCCACTCATGCAGCATACCAATTTAAAGCTAAATAAATTCTTCACCTTCTGACACATTAATATTTAATCTATTTTAAGAGACACCCGAGATATGGTCCCTCAAAATTGACCTTTAAAAAATCAGGTTTGGCAAAATTGCGTGAAATCAAAGAAACGTAAAATTGCCTTTGCTCATTTATTGAAGAGTATCAATATTGATTGAATTGCGATATATTGCATGCCCAATGAATGGAGGATTGTATCTTTGCAGTAAACAATATTTTATTACAATATTTTGTCACGATAGTTTCAAACATAACGGAAAACAGAGCAATCACAAATACGACACAAAACTTAGACTCAACACTAATTGTGTTCATTGTTACTTTGGGAAACCTTTGGGCATCGATTCTATTGCATTTTGGACATATTTATCTGTCATTTTATCTAAAATTTCACAGAGAGTTGCAAACAAAGAGTCTGAATTGGGGGCAAAGTCGTTTTTCTTCCTCCGTTGTTTCATGGCACTTCCCATACCTGCAGGATTAATATCGGGGTTGTTTACTGGTAACCACCCGAACGTTGACTTGAATTGTTTTTTTAAGAATTCTCTAATGGCATTGGCCCCATGAGAAAATGCCTTGTTTAGCATGGGATGACTACTTGAATGACACCATGACGGAAATAAGGGTAAGACATGACGTTCCAGCACTTGCGCGATATAGTCCACTAAACCAAGGCATCAGGTGATTCTCACGAGGGCGGTTTTGTTCATTTCACCCCAGGCCACCCAAAACCATGGCAGTTTCGTGGCTTCTGTTCCTCACTGACAGATGATTGTGTTCAAAATCTTACGCGGTCCATGAGCAAAAGAGGTTTCGTGCTCGATAAGAAACCAACAGCTCCTGAACAAAAGCAAAATGAAAACTAAGTAGCTGGGCCCCCTTTCGATGAAAGGGATGATCGGCACATTAACATTAAATGAAAGCCATTGGCCTACTACCTCGACCTTTGCGAGCGCGAGGAGTTCCAACTGCAGAACGTCGTTTTATTTTCGGCACTTTCAGGCGCTATCTAATCTAGATTCTAATCAAAAATCTGTTGACGTTGTTCCCAGGAGCAAGAAAAGGAATTTGACAAAGGAGTCCAGAAAAAGGGATGATGGGCATCAGACGAAAGGATCTCAGTCGAATTTAGCACCAAGTAGAAAAGGAAAACATGAGGCTAGATCTATACGGGTCGCACACTTAAAATAGTGCTCAGTATTGCGCGAAAATGCGCGATAGAAGTATCGAATGGAAGTACGACTTGAAATAAACAAACCTGGCGGATTTTCTAAAATTACAGAGACAGTCTGAAGCGTCGGCCTACAAAAGCGATCGGCGAAATAAAGAAATCTTGCTTTTCGCAGCAAAACTGTCTCAAAACTGAAAAAACGAAGGGCGTCATGATCTGGAGAATATTTTAAAGAATCTTTTGGCGAAAACCACATATCGATCAATGCAACCACTAAAAATCCTTTTTGAATAGCAAAATTCAGCCACCACAAATAGATAATAGAAGATGAATACAAGTAACTGATACGTCCAGGTTTTGTGAGGTATTTGTTACTGCTCTGTTTTTCAATCTTCATGAGTTTTCTGTTCAGGTCTTCGTTGTTGGTGTTTTGAAAGCTCTGAAGGGCGTTGAACCTACTTTTGCTATAGATCTATATATTTTAGTCATCTTTTACCATTTCAAAATCTTAAATGCCATAAAAATTGAAATCTGATGAGATTTGGCATCTCCGTCACACAGCATCCTGCTGTATATTAAACCTCAGCGTTGCGCTGATTTTGTGAATTTTGTTTCAGCCTCCATAGCTTTTGTACTTCCTTGTAAATTTTGCTATCACTTTATTTGATGGTGGGTTCTCAAAGGCTAAATAAAAAAGCGCATATCCGTCAATGTCACCTACTTCTGTATTTTTCTTCATTGGTGAAATCTAATTGTTCACATTGGGGTGAGGAGCAAGTTCATCCTCATCTACAGTTTCCTCTTAGCTACTATCACTCTCACGACATGCTCCTCACTATACCTACACCACTAGTGCATATCAATGTTCGAACTGTCGTGTGATGTGCTCAAGAATGTCGATGCCATTGCAGTAGGCTGTGGTAATCTTGAGAAATTGAGGCTAGGGCATCAAAGTATTTTGGAAAGGTGTTCAAAAAGCATTTTCTGAACTCGGTAACTGTTGAAACTGGGGTAGTGCCGAAACAGCACTCTCATCTCGTTGATTAGACGCTAGCATCAGCATCAGCAAATGTCATTGAAGGAGGCGGTTATGAGGCTGAAACAACAGAATGAATTGACAGTAGGGATTGATCTAAAATCTCTGTCTGTCTGTCTAAAAATATATAAACACAAGCACAGTTTTGGTGTAAAACAAATAAGACAGTAAGGGGAACATTGACCAATAATGAGTTTCTCAAATATCAAGACCTGGCGATAATATTGAGAGCTTTCGTTCTCAGTTCTCGTCTCGTAGTAGCAAGAAATAAAAATTTAAAAACCGTGCTATCAACTTTCCTTTTCTCTT